GATTTAAGACCGCTGTGACCTTTTTGACCTTATGACCCGAAAATCAATAGAGGTCATCTACTAGTTATGACCAATCAGTATGTGAAATATGAAGACTTTGTGATGAATAGTTTTCAAGATAATCAGCGGAAAACCATTCTGACATTAAAGGCCTTGTGACCTTGACCTTTGACCTAGTTACCCCAAAATTAGTAGGTACATCTTGTAGTTATGACCAATCAGTATGTGAAATATAAAGACTTTGCGATGAATAGTTTTTAAGATAAGGCCGCTGTGACCTTAACCTTTGGCCTAATGATCCGAAAATCAATAGGGGTGATTTAATAGTTATGGCCAATCAGAATGTGGAATATGAAGGCTTTGTGATATATAGTTTTCAAGGTAATCAGCGGAAATCATTCTGGCAATTAAGGCCCCTGTGATCTTGACCTATTGACTCAAAAATCACTTGGTATGACCAATCAGCATGTGAAATATGAAGACTTTGTTATAAAGTTTTCAAGATAATCAACGGAAACCATGGGGTCTACAGACGGAGAGACCGACCGACAGACAGTAAGACCGTCATAATTATGATTATAAAATTTTCGAAAAATATTCCGTTATTTATGATAGCAGTAGCCCTGCTTTAAAAAGTTTGCTGGTCATGAAAATTTTCCCACTCGTTGAAATTGTTTACGTTGCTACAAGCTCTAGCGAATCTAATTAACTGAGAAACATGCACTCCGTAAGATGTCGCATGGGGAACGTCTCCATCTAAAATGTTGATAGATTACCATACAAAAGTCAAAGTGATCTCTTTTTATCATAGATTTTCGTGTGAATAGAATTGTTGTTGACAGTAATATGAAGATCCAAAAAAAATGCACTAAAATTTAAAGAGTTCGTTTTATTAAGTTGTAGTAAATGGGGATAAATATCAGACACCAATTTGGTCAAAATAAGAATTATCTAAATTAAAACTATCATCAAGGTATCTGTCAGTATTAATAAATGCAACTATAACATCTTGTTGAGAGACTTAACATAAAAATCTGGAAACAATGTGATCCCTTGGAAGCATTCATCACAACAAAATTACATGAAAATTTCAGACTCGGTTTGATTGAGTCTGTAAATGAGGGATAATGAATAAGTGCAACAAACCTCACGCTCCCTAGCACCAGCTTGAGCGGTACTCGATTCTCAACATTTAATAGTGCTGGCATCAATGATCCCAAAGGACCAGAAAAAATAACAACACTGAAGTGAAGTAAGGGTCAACTTTTTACAGCTGCCACACAGCACTTGACACCTGCTGTTGTGAAGTACAAAGTTTTTTTAACGCCGATTTTTAAATGCGTTTTTATAATCCTTTCGAGTTATACTTTTCAGACACTGGAAAAAAGCTAAAATGTTTTCGCGTTTGATATTTTCTTCAAGCAAGATGTTTTGTTTTAGCCTCGTAAATAGGAAAAAGTCACAGGGGGCAAGATCTGACAAATAAGGAGGGTGAGGAAGTTCGACAACCTTTTCCTGTTTCTGATATTCTCATTCAATGACCGCTTTGTGTGAAGAAGCATTGTCGTGCAACAGTCTGACACCAGATTTGGTACGGCAATTCGAATAGCAGAACCTGGATTGTTTAAGGAAATTATATACATGACCTTTTTAAGGCTCAAGTTGCGTTTTGCTATGCAAGGTCTTTGACCTCCATTGGTTGCCCATATTTCGTTATGTTTCTTTCGCTTGGGCTCATAAAGGTGAACCTCTTCTCATCGCCAGTGATGGTATTTGCGAAAGATAGATTGTTGTTTTTAGGGAAATGTTTCAACAATCGTTACAAGATTCTTATCCGAGCATGTTTTTGCTTTTTTGTAAGAAGATGGGGTATCCATTTGGCGATTATTCTTCTCATTTTTAAATCACGTCTGAGAAATGTATGAGCGGCTCTTACAGAAATACCAACGCTATATAATTAGTTGTAAATCTTGCATAATTAGCAATCGAATCCTTTACTTTTTCAACAATTTTTGTCGAAGTTTCAGTTCTAGGACGGCTAGCATGAAGGGCATCTTTTACTGAATCAACACCACTTTTAAATTTCTTACAGATGAATGGGAAAGATCATTGTTCCCATAAACACGACATATTTCATCAAAAATGTATTTTGCCTGTATACAGCGGTTCTTGATATAAGACCGTATTTGGTCAGTGACAGGATATCTTTTCACAACTATTTAAGCTTTAGTTTACACGCGTAGATAGCGTTAATCGAGCTATTGTCAAAGCTAGACTGAACCACAGGTATTCGGCGTGTGTCAAAGACCATAATGACCACCCCTCCTCTCTCCCACCATCCCACATGCTACAACCCGACTGCCTTATTAATTAAAAAAAATATTTTTTTTGATGACTATATAAATTGACAAGGTATGTATCTCCATATGCTCAAATACACAAACAATCAAGGTAGTCTTGATTTACAAGTCACCGTGTCCTTAAATATTGACAGATATTCAAAATTTATGTTTCATCTGATGCACATATCATCTCTCCATACAACTCTAATCTCTTTAACAACAACATTTGAACCCAAGTCAGGCACCGAATGATTAAAATGCTCAAAACACTGTCTAGGACAAACTATGGCCTCGATGTTTACATTCTAATTTCCCGTTGAAAACACAAATAATCACATTGCAATCGGGCCTTCATCCACATGTATGCAACAAAAACAATTTACGAAATTACTTACCATACGATATTTCACCAGAACTTTATCTTGTAACATATACTGCGTCGATTTTCTAATTCCTCGCTACTTTCGCTTCGTTGTCCGCCATGTTGGATGACGTCTTGGGAAAAATCTGTACGGTTTCGCGGCCCGTTCCGAAAAAAGAATTGCTGCGATTGGTCAATTGTGGAGGTGTGTCGCTGGTTCCTAGTTGCCTCTCTAAACTCAATGTATATGCGTGGCAGAAGTTTCGCACAAAATGTCAGCTTGCGTTCTAAACAAAAAACAGCGTGCTGCTGTTGATTTTGTATTATCAGGGCATAATCTTGTAATACTTGGAAAAGCTGGTACGGGGAAATCACTAACAGTCAAAAGTATCTATGAAAGATGCGTGTCTACAGGTAAACAATGCGTTGTTACAGCCACAACAGGAATCGCTTGCTCCGTCTATCCGAAATCTATGAATGCTATGACGATTCACCGGTGGTCAGGAATCGGAGACGGTCGTTATTCTCCATCTGAAATAAACATAGTTGTATCTAACAACCCTAAATATAGACAAGTTAAGGACAGAATCTTCAAAACCGACGTATTGATCATAGATGAATTTTCAAAGTTGGACAAGCGTGCAATGAACTGTTTAAACGCAGTTTGTTCATTGAAAAATGCCTTACTTTATTTTGGTGGAATACAGGTAGTGCTTGTTGGCGATTTAGTTCAGCTTCCACCAGTACCGTGTGCAAGGTATAATGAAGACGGTTCATTTTGTTTTGAAAGTGACATCTATGAGATGGCTTTTCCACACAGAATAAAATTACAACAGGTACATAGACAAACAGAGCCACAGCTTATTAAAGCCATCGAAGAAGCTTCAACTGGTATTTTAACAAATGAAACCACTAAATACATTAAGAAACTTTCAGTTCTATTGGAGAACTCTGATGATAAAACTAGGGTTTCTTAATCGAACAAATATCATAATCGATCATCGAAAATAATCGAACAACCCTTTTCGATCAATCATCGATTATATAATCGAAACATTTACGATAACAAAGTAAATATGTACAATGCACATATCATGCTTTAATATTTATAAGAATAATCTATTAATATTCTACATTTTGTGTAACTACCACTTAATCAACTGAAAAAAACTAGTAACTCATGCTTACGTTCATCCTTGAATAAAATATTTTAATCAAATAAATTCATTATATCTATGAAATTATTATGTCTCAATTCCAATAAAGGAATGAATAAGCTATGTATGGGACAAGAGAAGTTGGTTATTAACAAAAATACCAGGTTTTTAATGACACTATATATGACACTATATATTCATATTGTAACCATCTTTAGTGTGTAGAATAACAAATCTTCTTTGTTTGAAGTCAAAACATGTTTATTACAAATTTACAAATAGACTGTGTAGCAATTTTCTAATTTCAAATTTGAGCATAGTATGTCTTTAAACTAGAATGCCTCACTGTCAACTATTAACCTCATGGTCACCAGTATGCTTTCTCATTCATTTTAATGAAAATTATTGGGTAAACCAGAGTTGGTTTTAATTTAAAGTGTTGTTATAATACAGTGAGTCACTTAGGTAACAGAAAGAAGATAAATAACCGATGATCGATTATTGAAATTTGCATTCGATCATCGCTAATCGGTCCTATAAACGATCAATTATCGATTATACTCGATCATCGTTTAATCCCTAGATAAAACACCTGTAAAACTTTTTTCAACTAATAATCTTGCTGATGATTTTAATAGGGACCAAATTTTGAAATTTCCTGGACAATTACATGAATTTTTATCAAATGATACAGGAGAGAAGAAGTATTTGAATTAAGTTACTGCTTGCCGAAAACTGTGGCTAAAAATAGGCATTCCTGTAATGTTAATAAAGAACATAACAGACACACTTGTTAATGGACTTTGTGGTACTGTATATGACATCCTGGAAGATCATTAACTGGTGGAATTTCAGAACAGGGATGAAAAAATATATATCAAGAGAGAAAAATTTGAAGGTATTTTTAAGTTTCCTTCAAATTATATAAATGTTATCTTAACACTTAATTCTTAAATACAAATATCACTACTGTTTCTTACTTAAATATGTAAGGTCATCTGTATACTTAATTGTCCTATTCAAATGGCAAATATAAAGATTTAGAATCATGTAACATATATCATGGAGATAAGTCTGTGCCGAAATGGCCACTTCGTGAGCCTCGAGGTAGTTAAAATGAATGGTTACCGATTTCTATCTGCCTGGCGCCTGGCATAGTGGTAGGAATTGGGAGGTACATGGTATGCAACCAAAAGGTGTCTCATAAGTCAAAATGGCTGGCCCTTTCACTAGGGGTGACACTATAATAAACAAGACCTTTACCTTTATATGCTGTAGGTATTCGTGTTTAACTAATTTTAAATAACATGACTACATTCTCTGATTATATAAATATATATATATTCTTTCAGTATTTGAACCAAGAAGAAACACTGTGGTGGCCACAAGAGAACAATATCCTTTAAAGCCAGCTTACGCTTTAACGATACATAAAAGTCAAGGAATGACACTGGACAGGTTTGTAAATGATTGCAAAATCATTGAAGTTATTCATAGAAATAAAAGACTTTATTTGATTTTAGGCAATGTATTAAGAACATGAAAGCAAACAAACTTTTAAAAATGTTTTGAAGCCATGAATAAGTATACTACATTGTATGCATAGTAATGAATATTTAGTGACTTTCTATATACCTAAAAGCAAGGTGTCATTTCCTGTCTGCTTCTTGTCTTTGATGTTATTGCCTCATTTTGTACATTTACAGGATTGAAGTGGACCGTAGGGACATTTTCAAGGCAGGACAACTTGGGGTTGCTATCGGGAGGGTTCGCTTGTCTGCTGGTTTACGAGTGGTCAACTTTACTGACAGAACCTGTAGAAAACAGCCAGAAAAAGTTCTCCGATATAATGATGAATGTGACAACTTGTCTACAAAAACAAAGTATGCTGTGTTGGCTTTGAAAGGTAATTTTGTAATAAATAAAGTACACATTTGAAACCATCAAGGTAATTTTTATATTGTAAGAAAATATTAATGAATATAATTAGGATGTACTGTGATATTTCACATGATTACATTGATTGAAAGGTTGGAAAATGAGAGTTAACATAAAAACATTGTTATGAAAATAATTGGGACTCACCTGAAAGCTTTTGTCGTTTAGCTGGATAATTTTGAAGTGAGAAGTCAAAAGCCATGGTGGCATCCCTCCCTTTTCCTGCATTTGCTTTGGTGGACACAGTATTTTGACCAATAATGATGCTGTTCACTGCCTGTTGATATTGTAGGGCATTTGGATTTGAATTAGCACCATGGTATGTGGACCTTTGCTGGTTGAAGAAATTTTCAACAACATCAGAATTCACTAATGCAGGTGTTACAAATATGTGTTTGCTCTTATTGATAACCATCTCACATAATTCAATAAATCCCAATATGCAAGACTGAATGTCCTCATGGCACTGATAAGACATGCAATCTTTTGCATTCTTGTTACTGTTGTTTTTCCATTTATCAAACCATGAGCTTATCTCCCTTAACTCTAATAATCTGCCATCATGAAAATGCATTATTGGCCGCATGTCTCGAAAAATGTCAATAAGTTTTGATGTTTTTTGTAGAAGTTCAATAGTGCCATTAAGAACATCTCCTTTTGAACCAAGATATGATTTATATTGTGTCATTAAATTCAGCATTTCAGAGTTAAGAACTTCCTCAGCTAGGTGATTTCTCATTTTTGAGTGGTTTGTAAGGTTAATATGCTCGTTGCTTAACTTGCGATGTAATTGAAAAGAGTTTCCTTTATCCCAGTTAATACAATCACAAAACATCTGCCACTGAATTGTGTCACTTGATGGTAAAGTAAGGAGTCTTTTATGAAATTTTGCTGAGCCACTACTTAAAATGTTATTTCTATTTTTTTTAATTACATGGGATACGTCCATAATAAATGCTATTTCACCAGAAGTGTACGGGTTTTCTGTTTTAAACGATTTCTTATTTTCATAACCAAGGTTATAATTCATGAAATTTCGATTGCTTTGTGCTCCATCAAGACTAACATAAAGTATTTTAAATCCAAACATCCAAAGTTCATCTACAGCACGCCAAAATAATGAATATAATTCAGTTCCTTGTACCCCATTGGTAATGAAATGTGCAAAAGGGAATCTAAATCCTGTCAATCCTAGAAATATAAATTGTAAAGCATATGTTCCTAAAGATTTTTCATTTTTGCCTGTTCTTAAAATGGTACAGTCATTGCCCTCATTTCCAACATCAGTGAATCCACATAATTCTACTGCGTCACCATTTTTTGAAATTTGTAGGTCAGACTGGATAGACATTTCGTCTATTACGATTCCTCCCATCCAACCATCTTCATGTATCTGTTTTTCTACAGCTTCTGCATGCATTCACTGTAATATCTTTTCATTAAAACCTGTTTCTTGTTTTACTATATTTTTATACAAAATAAGTGTTGAAGGACAAGGCAGTATAAGCATGTTTGTTGCACGAAATGCCTCATATGATTGTGGTGACCTACAATACCACTTTAGGCATACAGAAATTTCATGTTGTGTCCAGCGCCTGCCACGTGGATCTCGAGATACATTTTTAGCTTGACTGAAAAATAACTCTGCCATTTCATCACTGACATTGGGTATAAGATTTCTTATATCATCAATTGTAACACTATGTCCTTTTTCCTTGGTATCTGATTCACTCTCTGTAACACTACTACATGCTGTAACACTACTAGATTCTTGTGGTGGTAAATTTTCTTTATCAGGGTATTTCATTGTCATTTTTTGGCATTTTCTGCATATGTCTGTATATTTGCTCATGGAAATTACTTTGTCACATAAAATAGACCTAACAGACCTTCTTTTTGCACCATTTTCATTTATCACATGTTCATACTCATAAAATCTTGTAATTATTACTGATTTTGTCACTGTTATACCGACACACATTCTTAATATTCTTACAGTTTCAAAAACAATGTCTAAACTTTCAGTTTTGAAAACAAATTTATTCAATACATAAACATCATCCAAGTTGATTTCTTTTCCATTTATTTTTAATTTCCATGTATTATTATTAAAGAAATGAACTTCTTTCTTGACTGGATTGTTGTTTACTGTGATTCCAGTGAAATATTTGCAAGTTATACTGCTTTCATTATTGTCTTGCAGTAAAAAATCACTTGGAATATGAGCCTGTATGTCAGAGAAATTTGAAAATCCTGTATATTGATCCAAGTGTGGTGGTTTGATCTTTATGCCTTTATAAAATGTTTGAGAATGATGTGGATCTGTCTTTCTCTCTTTAGTAACATTTGGAAATATTTTTAATAGATGTGAAAAAAATATTTGACTTGAAACATCTTGATCAGGTAATCCCTCTGCTTTACTTTCAAAATGAAACATTTCCAGGAGAGTACTGCCTCCTACTTGTGATTCTGCATCAACTTGCAGTCTTCTCAATATCCTAAATGAATAATAAGTACAGAGACAATTATACATTTTGTAAGTTACAACACTGATTTATCTCTGAATGTAGACTTGTAATTTGAATTGGTTGCTTAATTAAAATATTACTTAAATTAATAATTAATTTCATATACCACAATATAAACCTATTTCTGCATGACATTGAAATGTCAAATTAAAAGTTAGATGACTGCAATCATTGTGGAAAAAATTTAAATCATTAAATGGTGAAATAACTTTTGACAATGATATTGAAATTGTATGTACATGTACATGCATGTATAGCAGACAGTCATTTTAATTTTATTTACAAAGTAACATCATCAGTGTTTTGTTTCAAGTTAAAGGCACAATATGCCTCAATAATGAATAAAAATAGCTATTGTGATGATCCACTTTTGAATTTTATATGTAGATGTATCCTAATGAGATGGGCCTTTAAGGGTAAATGGTCTAAGATCATGGTCAGTGCATTTAAATTAAATGTTAAATTTTATTGAAAATGTGCTTTAAGTGAATATTGATACAAAATTTATTATATTTTAGTAAATTATCATGATATAAGGTAAATTAAAATTTCATTTTTAGCTTTATTTTTTAATAAAAAATAGATGTATTGTTCCAGATTTGTTTATATGGAAGTAAATTTTAATATTTATTTCATCTTATTGTTTCAGTTCAAAGACAGTAGAGACAAACTATACAGTGAATGATCTCACTGACATAGATATAGTGACCAATGATGACCATCAGCATGACATTGAAGATTTAGATGATGATTTTAATGATATCATTTCAGCATTGGATGATGTAAGTTACCAGGAATGTGCACAAGTTCAGTTACCTGATTCTTTAAGTCTTCAGACAATACTTGAAGAAGTGAAATCAAAAGTTGTAATAACCCCTTATCAGTATGAGAATAATGAAACATTATCAAGAATACATATGACGAGTTTAGAAATATATGTCAAGAAACAGTACAAGAAACTTAAAGAGTTACTAGATAGTTGTCCAACTTCAACGTCGGGTCAAATTGTGTCAAAAGATTTAGGTAAATTTTATTTCGATGAACATACATACTCAATTAGCTCAGAATATAAACTTAACTCATACCTATTATTTGAAAATGAAGATACATACTCTGATGTACACAAAAGGATTGCTGGTAAAATTTATGCATTGATTAGAGAATTTCTTATACACTCAAAAGCTAATGAAGTGAAAACAGTAATTACTGATACTAGTAATAGAAAAGTTACACATGCGTCTCGTGCAAGAATAAGATATATCGGAGGTTATTGTATTGCTAAGATAAGATACAAGTATTTGATAAATAAGGCCACACATAGGTACTCCGAAAAAGCAAATGATAAGATTTTATATAGTAATGCTAAGATTGCTGTTGAAATCCTGAATTCCTTGAAAGAAGATGAACAGACTATCATGGCAAGTACAGTAGAACCTGATTCACTCCTGGATATTTCTCGCAGACAAAATTTAAACAGGGGACTTACAAATATACCAGACGTTGTTTTTAATTTTTTTATTAAATTAACAGTAATGTGTTTAGATATGTTAGCAGCTCAAAATTTAAATGATATGGGAGAGAAAATGTTCAATGAATGCCAAAGCAGAATTGAATCATCAGATCTTTATATTGAATTTGTTGAAATGTGTAGTATACCAAAAGAAAAATGCACAAATATGGAAGATGATGTGGAACCAGATCAGTCCATGAGTCATCAAGTTCAAAAAATATTGAAAAACATATTTCATAAAATTGTTAAGTTACATTTAATGGTAATGTTAATCAGTTTAGAAAGGACACTTTAGACAAGTTACAAATTGGGAAAAAAATGGCCCATAGAAAACAAATAAGGGTTTCTACAACAAAAACTACTAATGTGTCAACAAAAAGACAATCTGAAGATGTTCTGAAGGCATCTAATAAAAGGAAAAAGACAAAACATTCAGGTATAAGTGCAAGTAATGCATCATCCAGTACATTGACTGCTGCTGAGGAGAGTGAGCCCCAACCAGGTACTTCAACTGCTGATGAGGGGGTTATTGAATCTGAAATTAAATGTAAAGTATGCAACACTATTGATAAAGAAATCCAGTGGATTCAGTGTGATAAGTGTAATGCTTGGCTTCACAGAAACTGTGCTGGACTTAAACACCATTTAAGATGGAAAAAATATCAGAAAAAATCATCCAAATTTTTCTGTGATACTTGTAAATAGGTTTAAATTTTTGAAAAAGTTTTAAGCAGTTATTATGGTTTCACAGTCACTTGGATTGAAGACGCATTATGCATCAGAGAAACATATATTCTTCTTTGAAAAGTGGAAACATGATTAAGAATGTTGAAAAAATGGATTTACTACACATACCATGCTTACCTTTGAAAGTAAATAATAATGAAATTGAAATGATTTTTCAAAAAAGGCACCAATTTGTATTTTTATTTTACATACAAAATACTGGTAAATATGATTGA